AAATCTGCCCCGCCCAATCCAACAGATCTACCATCGAATTCATCATCTCTCCCTGTCGTGGCTGCCCTACCTGTCAAGAGCATTGTGACCACACGCGTTATGCTCAGCTCACACTTGGCACACTTGCCGCTTCCCTCGGTCTGCTGGGCCTCCTTCCGTGCGCACAGCCTTTAGAAGCACTCGGTTGACACAGAGATTCATGGCGGCTGCCCCGCCAGCACCAGCACGTGGACTGAGCTACAGGTCCAGCGGATCAACTGCTGGCCCAAGTCAGCTAGCCACTGCTGGCCTAAAGGAAACCCCCACCCTCATCTGATCTTTCGGAAGAGCTCTCGAGCATACCCAGCGACCTCCCGGGGGGATCCTCACTAAAGGGCCATCAGCACCATCAGCAGCCAGATGAGCAGCAAGTCAAGCATGCAGACTCCGCTTTCCCCCTCAGTCTCTGTTCAGCTTCCCTAGGGAGGGGCCCAGGCTCCCGCCCCACACGAGGACCAGCATGCCGACCTTCCCTGGGGCTGGACGCAGGGCGGGAGTCAGGGGAAAGCATGATCCTGGCGCTCAACCAGTTCTAAGCTTCCGACTGCCCTTCCTCCAAGTTCCAAAGCTGCCACAAAGACAGCTCCAAGTTTACCTTTTGGTTTTCTGAAAATCAACAGTTTCGTGTTCCCCTCAGGATAAAGACAAGAAAATTACCTAGTGTTCATTTTGTGAGTCTGAAAGCCTAGGTAGGGGTCAAGCACCAGACTGGTGGCTAGGTCGTCATTTTCACACAGCTCCTTGGCAGACATCCCAGAAGAAGGTACATAGCGGCTCTGTCCTTCAAACCCCGAAGCCCCGCTACCTGGAAAAAGCAAGAAGCACACAGGTCACTCGCTGTGTTCGTCTCCTGAGTTCTCCAATTAATCAAACCAGCAATTCCTTGTCCCAATCAATGAGTGAACAGTCAGTCAGACAGATGGCCCTCCTGGTTATCTGGGGCCCAGCTCCCTCCACTCCCTGGGCACTGGCATTTTGGTTTGCCGGGGCCTGAGGAACACGTCCCTCCCCAACCCAGGGGCCCAGGCAGGCGGTCCTGGGGACTTCTGCTCAGCTGCTTTCATCTCCTTCACTGCACAGGTGGGAACCTGGTTACAATCCCATGGCTTTAATACAGTCAGCAAAGGAGATCATGGGGGAGAAGAGATAGAGGTTAACAGGTGGTCAGGGGGCACAAACAGCTTTCAGCAAGCAGAGACAGAGAGTCTGGATCTTGGCTCCAAGAGGGGCTGCAGGAGAAAGGCTGGCCTTGTTCCCTGCTGTGCCTGAGGTGAGTAATCAGTGGAGTGCCCCTGCCTACAGCCCCCCCCCACAGCTAGTAAGGGGTATGAGGAAGGACCTGGCCCGGACTGTCTGACGGCTCAGCCCCAAGAATTTCAGGGTCTGGACAGAAATGAGAGAATGAACTGAATGCTGGTCTGGCAGAACAGGTGTGGACACAGCAAAGAACAGAAGCAACAGAGGCAGACCAAAGACAAAGGCCAAGCCCCGGGACGGGGATGGGTGCAGCCGGCTGCAACTGGGTCTTTAGGACTGGGAGAAGCAGGCAGAGACAGAGTGATGGCCGTCTACACATTCCTTACTACAGGCCAGCGTATCATGTCACAAGGAACAGTGGCTCTGTCCCCGCCTTTGCGGTCCAGAGCTCTTTCCACCTTGTTCCTTCTCCCACCTCCGATGGCCCTGCTCTTTTTAGGTTCTAGGGGGACCCGTGCCTGCACTCGGGAACCGGGAGCAATTCTGACAAGTCTTAAAAGTTTGTGGTACTGGATGGATGTTTTGTTTCGGGGGAGAGAGGAGGCCCCAACAAGCCTTAGGCTATTTCTAGTCTCCAGGGTCCAGGGCAGACCAGGCCAATCCTTGGTACTCCACACTCTGATCTCAGGAGAGTTTGGGGAATTCTACGGAACACGGACTGGTCACCCAGCCTGGCTTGGGCCATACACCCAGAGGGCTGGACTGAGAGTCTGCTTAGAACAGGAAAGGCTGGGGCTCGGCCCGAAGGCACCCGATCTCAACCCAAACCTAACTAAGTTTCAACCGTCGACAGCCTTGGAAGCCAAGGAAGCTCGACAGCCCTCCTGGACCCTTGGAACAGCTCTCTATTTATCCTGAGTCAGTGCAGGTCTCTGAAGCAGGGCTGGTAGAGACGCTCTCTGGGAGGGCAGGGCAGGGCAGGCTGGCACCTGCTCTGCAGCTGAGTCTCGGAGAGAGCCCGGAGAAAGGAAGTGATCTGCCCAGGGTCACCCAGCCCGGACGGGAGCTCTGGTCTTCCTGGCTCCAGGGCCAGCTCCAGGTGCTCCGCCCTTCTGCCCATTACCCTTGAAATGGCCACCAAGAGGAAGAGTAAGCCCGCAATTTCTTGAAATAAAAATTGGGGGTGGGGTGGGGAAGAGGGAAGGATAGAATTTAGAACTCAAAACTTTAAAAATGTTAAGAATTGGAAAAAAATGGTTCTCTTCCAACTAAGAAACAAACAGAAAATTAAATAATTGTTTCATTATGCCTTATTTAAGACATCCCAAGGGGACCTATTATTCCGCCTGGGTGGCACAGGTAAAATAGTGCCCTGCTGTCTGGGAAGCAGTCAGTTGCGTTCCCCGCCCCCTGCTTATCATCTAGGCCCCAGCCCTATTGCATTCAATAAACACGAAGATGGAGAACTGCTTCTGCTCCTCATCACTATCTTTAAAACTCTCTATGGACAGGTTCTCTAAACCAGATGTTCACATTTACCCGAGGTGGCTGAGTAGCTGCGCTCTCCTGCTTTCACAGAAGAAACCTAGCCTTCAGGTACAAAGTCTTGAGAACAGGAGGGGGCAGCTGCAAGCCGCAGACCCAACCACGTGAGTCGGATTTCTGCGTCAGGCGTCCAGCGGGTGTTGTTATCCACTCATCAGTTTTAAAGTAGGAACAAATGATTCCTTTAATATGCTCAGGATGAAAATTGTCAAAGACAATAACAAAATAAAACATATTACCAGAGAAAGAACACAAGTGACCCCCACAACAATGAAAACACCCCAGAGGTTAAGTGTGTACCTACATCTGCTCGACCTTCTCTCAACTGCATTGCGGCCAGCCTTCAGGGTGTCCTTTCCCGTGTGCTGAAATTTGGACGGACTTGGCTGGTGTTCATTAGACAACTTGCCTCCATTTCTCCTGCCATTCACCACCATGTTCTTGGAGTCTCCCAACCACTTCATACCCACAGACAGCCCGACCCAGTGGCATTTAGTCACTCTCTTCAAATAGCTTAGAGAATAATTTCAATTTTCTCTCCTAACGGAAACAAAATATGGAAAAAAAAATAACTGGGGAGGTAAATACAAGTAAGACCATTACGCTAAACAGACACTGGAGAATGGCACTCATCCGCATTAACAGTAACAGAATGGTCATCTCTGCTATTTGGGGCACTCCTGGTGCTTCTTGAATCCCCCTATAATCTCACGCCTGGGAATGTAGCCCTGAAAGCTGGGCCACCCCAGACTCCTGAAGGGATGCCCAAAGCCTTTATGGTTAGTAAGTGGTACCTACTTTACTTAATTACTTGTTACAATGACATCTGAGGTACAAATCCTCACAGCTACCATTACTCAGCTAAATTATCTGTTAATAGACTGACAATTACATAGGACTTTAAGGTTCTCGAAGCCCTTGACATGCATGCTTTCATCTGGTCTTCCCCACAACCCTTAGAAGATAATTACTATGGGTATTATCCCCATTTTATGGATAAGGAAACCAAGGCTGGAAAAGGTGAAGTGCTTTGCCTACAATTGCCCAGCTCATATTTGAAATAAGATCTGAACCCACATCTTTCTGACTCCAAGCCCAACATTATTCTATCCCTCTATCATGTGGCTTGTTCTGTTAACTAACAGGCAGTCTACAAACAATTTGCCACCTCCTAAGTCCCATGTTCTCTCTACTCAATGTCAAAGTAGGCCAAGTACTCTACAATCGTAGGACAATATCTAAATGGAACCTATCACCATCTATTATGATGATTAATTATTATTAGAAGCTAGGATGCAAGGGGATAAGATGGGAAAAGGGACACCTTCACTTTGCGTGTTTCGTAATGTGAAAGACGGATTGGAGGGGAGAGACAGGACAAAAGGAAACCAGCCAAGAAGTAATTTGGATAGTCTAGGCCAATTAAGGTCCAAGCTGCCAGAGATACTGAGGAGGTGGGACTGATAAGAACTAAGAGGTACATGGTGGGAGGGAGGACATGCTGAGTGAAGGGAAGAGTAGGGGATTTGTGCTAAGGCTGCAAATCAAGGCAGTTGGAAGGCTGGTGTTGTCCTGACCAATGCAGGGAGATAAGAGGAGGAAGAAAGATAATAACTTCCTTTTTAGCATGTTAAATCTGAAATGCTTACAGGACACCCAGGCTGAAATGGAGATGTAGAAGGCTGCATCTATAGCTTTTTGGGTAATCTACATAGAGCTAAATCCATGGGGTGGGGGGGGGGGGGGGCTTTTTTGGGGAGGGAGACAGATGGGGAGAGAGAGGGAGACAGAGAGACAGGGAGGGAGAGAGAAAGAGATAAAGAGGGGGCAGGGAGAAGGAAAGGTAGAGGGAGCGAGAGAAAGGGGGAGAGGGAGAGAGAAAGAGAGAGAAAAGAGAGAGAGAGAGAGAGAGAGAGAGAGAGAGAGAGAGAAACATATGCACATTGAGAGAACTGCAAAGATCAGTTATCATAAGGAAAACACGTCCAAGAGGAAGGGATGGGTGGTCAGTGGTGTCAAATGCTGTGAAAAAATGAAAAAGGATGAGGCCTGAGAAAGGCCACTGGACTTAGAAATAAAGAGATCCTTGTGACCAGAGAGAACTCCTTTTGTGGCGTGGTGGGGGATGGAGTCAAAAAGTGAACACAGAGCTCCAAGCCCAGGGAGGAGAGGATATCAGCAGGTCAAATGCTCCAAAAAGTCAAGAAGTCGAAGGCTAAGAAGAGGCTCATGGATTTGGCAATTAATAAATTGCTGGTAGGCCTGGAGAGAGCAGTTTCAGTTGAGTGGGGAGGCTGGAAGTCGAACTGGCAGGGGCTGAGAAGCCATTTTTTCCTGGGAGTTGGCTGTGAAACCCCTGGCTGGCAGAGATCGCACAGACACCTAGCTTTACCTTCCTGTTTTACGGAAGAGGACACTGAGACCCAGGAAAGCGAAGTCCCACTCCTCCAGGGTGGACAGTCAGTGTCAATGTTACAACCAGAACTCAGGTTTTCAGAGTCAGCTCAGGGCTCTTTCTGCTCTCTGGAGAAGCCAATCTTCTCCACTTTTCATTGTGCAAAGAAAACCAGAGAGCCATTTCCTACAGCTGCTCTCAGAAATCCCTTTCTCCTCCTTCCCTTCATAATGCTCCAACACACAGCCCCAAAGCTTCAAGTCCCAGCAGCGGCAGGCTCAAGCAAAGGCGTCAACAGTGTCGGATCCCGATCCTGGCCAGTGACTGTCTTAACACATCTCTTCCTTGTTACACTGGTTCTTCTCCCAGGTAAACTGAGCTGTCAAACTGAAACCTCTTACTCTGCCTGTTTTCCAGTTGTTTCTAAATCATGACTAAAGCCCAGAGCCATGCTCAGTGCCTTCCAGCAAAGGAGAGCACAAGAGAGAGTAATTTCAAAGTCACCGCAGTATATACAATGATTTTTCATTTATTCAACTTTCTTACCAAACGTAATGCAATGCCTCTTTTACTAGGGTTAATATGGAAATGAGTGACGAAGATTTAACTTGAAATCATAACAATACAACCCATTTAATTCAGGAAGATTTAGAATGCTCAGGAGGTGCTATATAATCTGGATTTTCCTTACTGAACAGATGACAACTTGTTAATTCAAGAAAAGACAAGAGACCACTTGCTTAACAGCCTGTGATTTATAAGTGACTCTCTTCTTCAAGACCAAGAGTCACAAGCAGTACTGTGAGTGACCACAGTGTCCAGAGCCACAAAACCAGATCATGCTGATGGCAGCATGCGTCGAGCGGCAACAGTGCAGCAGCTGTCTCCTGCCCACTCTCCTTGTACCCTCTGGTTAATCCCTCCAATCCGTTCTTTATTACAAATGAGAGATGTGGGGAAGAGTGTGGGGGCCATGGAGGGGCCAGGGACCAAGAGCTGCCCGTGGGACTGTGACCCAGGCCTCCCAACGCCTCTCTAAGGCATTACCGAAGGATCCACGACAAAGATGGCGTCAGCGGGGCTCCGGAAAGTCTATCTTGCAACATTTTTTGTCCACGAGGTAGGAAGAAGAAATGGAGAGGGAAAGTAACAATGGAATGGCAAGCTGGAAGTGAGCGTGATCACCAGCTTACACAGTTTAAACCTGACTACCACCTTTCATCTTAAAAGACGACCAACCCTGAGTTCTAAACTTGAAGTGTTAACTAGGTACAGCAGGAGGTCGTCAACAGAACCAGGGGGAAAACAAGAGTGTTTTCTCATACACAAAGGCCTCAGAGCAAAAACAATTAAATAGAGCTGAGAATAAATGGCATAATCTCCTTGCTGATGACAGAGAAACATTAGCTGATTTACGGGCTTGAAGCACAAGAAATTTCAGGCAATTATTTCTAAGTCACACTGCTGACGCGCACAATTTCATCACTTTTTAAAGAGCACATCCCCTACGAAAACAAGCTGGTATAAAATGTGTCCATACAGATCCCATAAGCAAGCGAACAGAGTAGGTTACTGTTTGATAAATCCAAAGACACCAACTACTGGGTTAGAAACTCCTTTGAAGAGAATTTCTGGGAAAACTGGAAAGCAGTGTGGCAGAAATTAGAGGGAGCCCAACACTTTACACCATATCCCAAGATAAACTCCAAATGAATATATGAATTAAATACAAAAGGTTCCAAAAATTAGAGGAAAAGGGAAAGAGGTGCTTTGTACAACTATAGTGAGGAAATGTGTTAATTAAACAGGAATAGAGGTGGCCACAGATGACAAAAATGAACGATTTTGATCACATAACATAAAACAGTTTTTACATGACAAAACCAATGCAGCTAGCAGTATGAAAAAAACCCAACCCATTATGGGCGGGGGGAGATCCTAAATGATATTCAGGTAGATTTTATAAGAAATGCAAGCTGATCAACAAACCACCTGAAAAAACCATTCCAAAACACTAATAAAAAGCAAACAAATTGAAATTCTGATGTCACACTTATCAAATTAAAAAAGATGACAAGAAAGGAGCTATGGGAAAACAGGCACACTAACACACTCTTGGTGGAACTGTACATTAACCCAACTGTTCTGAAGAACAATTGGAAATTATACTAAAAAGTCACTAAACCACGTATAGCTTTTGACTCAGAAATACCACTTCTAGGCATATATACAAATCCAGAGAGTTCAGGGACAGAGAGGAAGGTCCCAAAAGTACAAAAGTTAAGAACTGGAGGGAACATGGGTGTCCGTTGGTTGGAATATGGTTGAATGTGGCTCATTCGTTCTTATAGAATACGGTGGTTCCATAAAAAATGACAACTATGAATTCAAAGGAAGCTGGGAAGATCTGAGCGAACCCTAGCAGGCAAGCCTACTTATTACTGGGGAAAATTTAGGCAGTGTGGTATGGGCTGAACCAGGAAAGCAACTTCTGCCATGACCACAATCATGGAAAGGAAAACAACATGGCCAGGCTTCAGAGCTCCCTGAGAGGCAGGCATGCTTCTTTTGCTAGAGTTAGTCAACAAATATTTATTAAGCACCTACTGTGTGCCAAGCACTGTCCCAAGCCTGGGAATACAAAGAAATGAAAAAGATAATCCCTGCCCTCAAGGAGTTTATAGTCTGGTGAGGGAAATGACATACCCACAAACATGTGCACACAAGCTACATACAGGACAGAGGAAATAAGTGGGCAAGACAAGACACTAGAATTAGAATTACTGCAGCTCCTAACTTAAGCTTATTCACAGCATGCCTCTGACCAGGCAAAAAGCCTTCCTCAGGCCAACAAGTGATTCCCATTTAAGAAAGACCTTCAAGAAGAACGCAAATGCACTTACCAATAGGTGCCAGGTGGTTTGGGGATTTGAGCTCAAATGGACAGGTATGTTCAGTATATGGTTTTTGTTTTCTGAGTGTTAAATCTGCCCAAATTCATCTCTGATTACTTAGCTGGCAAATTTCTGGAGGGAATGCTGGTCACCAAACATCCTACAATAAATAAACATGGATGATGACATCAAGGACGTTCCAAAAGACAGCAAAGGTCCCATGGCAGGCAGCCAAAGAGAAGCACTATGGGAAAGCAGCATCTTATCGCAGGGGCCAATGCTGGGATCTCTGTGCCTAGATCTTTCCCTTCTAACAGAGAGAGGGTACAGTCTCTCTGAGGTGACCCAGTTAACAAGTCACCTAGGAAGCGCACCCATGATCATCACCATTCCCACAGAATCATTTTTAGGAACCTTTGACAGCATATTCTTCATTCAATCTATCATTTTCACAGTCGAACTGCTGCCCCAAGGGAAGGGAAAGCCTTGCTTGTGGTCACCGCCTGAAGCAGATGAGCTGTGATTTCATCCCCAATGACCCAACAGCCACAGAATCCACTTTTAGGTACATACTCTTTCACTCTAACTCCAAAGTGGATAAAAAAGGCAGGGAAGCTGTTACTACGCCTTGGCTACATGTCCTTTCCTGCCCTGGTTTCTCAGGGGAAAAGAGACAGTGAAGAAAACACTTTGTTTAAAGGGGTCCAAGTCCATGGATGACAGCACCACTGATTCTCGGGCGACTTTTTCAGAAAGGAGCTCCACACCTCAAAGTCAGCTTCACAAGGACAACTGGAGAGGGTTCCGCAAGCAGAGGCAGAAAAGATGGAGGCATGAGTGGCAATGTTTGGACAAAGGAAGTTCAAGTTCTAAGGAGTTACTGGCCAATCATTTCCTGGGAGGAAAAGAACAAGTTTTAAGATTCTGAAAAGAGGCACTGCAGGTGGGCGGGGAGGTGGTCCGGGAGGTTAGATCAGTCACAATCTTGAAGCTGCCTCTCCACCCCGCCCCCCACTCCCTTCTGGAGTGACCTGGGGCCTCAGTTTCCTCCTCTATACAATGAGAAGGTTGGGCAGGCGCCCATCTCCTGGGCACCTGTTTCTTGGATTCTCCTCAAACTCACAGAAGAGGGGGCCGCAGTCCGCAATAAGGATCTCAGCAGCACAGACTGACTTAATTTTAAAACGGGATATTATCCTGGCTTCATTGGCTTTTCATTTGTTTCGTGAACTATTTCCCAACTTCATTTTAATCTGGTCTGGACTCATTTGGAAGCACTGCAGGAGAGCTCCTCAACCCCTCTGGTTTGGATGACGACCAGACCGCTCCAACCTGGGGCTGTATACCCATCCTTCAGGACAGGCTTCCACCCTCCAGGTTTCCAAGTCAAGTCAACAAGTGCTTATGAAGTACCTACTGCATACCCAGCATTGTGCTAAGTGCTGGGTATACAAAGAAAGTCACTCCCCCTCCCCCCCAAAAAAGACAGTCCCTGCTCTCAAGGAGTTCCCGGTCTAGGGAGAGACAACATGCAAACAGAAGACGACCTGAGGCAGGGGCTAAGATTAAGGTCGAAGAACCAATATAGGAGGAAAGAAATGGGTGATTCTTATTTCTACTATCAAACATAAATAAAAGGAAGCAAGATGCAGTCCACAAAAGACTTTCGGGGGCTGCTTCAAATTAGGAGTGGGAGCTAAACATGGTTTGAAGAAGGGATTTCAAGTTGTTCACTATACAACCCTAGGAGCATCCCGATGGTGACAATATCAAAAAACAGAAGTCAGGGTTCTTCAAAGAAAATTCTACTTGTAGAGAAATAAGCACTTCCTTTAGACAGATATGTCCACTTTCTGGATTATCCAGTTATACCAATTAGTATTAGCTGTTACTGTGCAGACCTATTCTGTCTAGAGCACTGCTGGGTGGGCCAAGGCCCTTCTGACAGAGTTCACATCTTACGCTGGAAGGCCAACGGCTTCTCCTGGGATACTTTACCCAGCAGCGGTGAAATAAGCACAAATGGCTCTGGGGAGAAAAGAGAGGTCCTAAAGACTTGAAGCCAGGTAGGGGACTTCGGGCGATTTTTACACAGAAAAAAGCAACATTTTCAACCATATTCACTAACTGTACCCCAAGTTTAGAGTCCCCATAACACAATGACAATTATTTAGAGTTTTTATTGTTTCAAATCTCTTCCCCTTTGAGCTATAGGCAAATAAAGTAAACCCCAAGGTAAGTTTCTAAAGCTTGGATCTTTCTTCAATACAGCAAAAATAGAGATACCCAAGAGACAGGAAAAGTGCACCAAGATTCATGGAAAGACACTAATAGAGAAACACAGCAAAAGATATGAACCATTTTACTCGTACCCTGTGATACTAAAAATTGCTGATGGGGTCTTCAATTTAAAATAAGTAACAGAAACTCAAATTTATGAGAAGAAAGAGGTTCGATGTGATCCAACCAACCAGTATTCACTAGGCTTCCTACTTCCTGTGCCCAGCACCTTGTTCAATTCTGCGAGCAACAATGCTAAGGATGCTTATTAAGTTACTTGGGGACGACGAGAGGGCCATTCAGGCTAACCAAGAACCAGGGATAAGATTAAAATCAGCTGGCAGATCACAATCTACTTTTCGAAATGTTCATGTTTCCATCAACTCAAGCTTCAAAAGTAGCCAAAAAGTAGCCACTGCTCTGAGTTTTCTGGAGGCAAGTGAAGAAAGCTCCTTGTCTTACGTCCTCCAACATCTTTAGGAAGTGCCCACCTCCCACAGGACTCCCACTGTCTGTGGGCAGGTTTGCTGGTTTCCTCCCCAGTTGGGGGTGTGGAGAGACATAGGCGGGGAGGAAGAAAACATTTGTTTTGAGAAATCAGCAAACCCATCCCCTAACAGCCACCACTACACCTTCAAGTTATATTCCTTTACTCTGTATGGGGAAGAGGATGGCACATCACTAAGTTCATCTGAGAGATGGACAAGAAAAAGACTGAGACAGAAGGAAAAAGGTCTAAGGAAGAACAACATTTTTCTTAGGCCAAGTCCGGACCATACACCTAGATTTGGTCTCCACATTTCAAAGAAAAAATGCAGATGATCCAAGAAAGGAGTCATTAACAACGGCAGGGAAGCAGACGAAGGCGACCGAGGCCTTCGAAGGGGTCACTTGAGAGCTCAATTTCAGTCCTTCTAGAGAGGAATAAAGTGACATCACGACGACCTTCCTGCAGACCGACAAGGGCACACAATTCCAATCCTGAGAAATGGACCCCACTGGGCCCCTGCCTCTTTAGACTTACAACAGAAGGCAGAGGAGAGCCGACACACCGTTCTAACAACCTACTACAGCAAATGCCAGTTTGTAAAAACCAAACCACGGTTTCCTCTTCCTCAAACACTCTCAAAGTCAGTAACTGTTACACCTAATGATGTTCATCAGTCGCTGGCTCTCTTTAACCTATCCTGGACTCCAAAACTTTACCAACTTCTTTCCTGCAGTTTTTCTTCTCTTTACTACATGACACTATTATCCCCTTTGCATTTTTTCAATTTTAAAAAATGTTATTTATTCACTTTTAACATTCACTTAAAAAAATTTTGAGTTCCAAATTCTCTCTTGTCCAGCCCTTCCCCAACCCTTTAAGGTGAGCATTTTTCATCCTGAGTTCTTTGGAATTGTCTTGCTTAGTGTAGCCAAGTCTTCCCGGGTTAATCGTTGCTGCACTGCTGCTGCTACTGTGTACAGTGTTCTCCTGGTTCTGCTCACTTCACTTTGCATCAGTTCATCTAAGTCCTCCCAGGTTTTTCTGAAACTATCCCCCTTATCACTTCTTACTGCACAATAGTATTCCGTCACAGTCAAATACCACAACTTTTTCAGCCATTCCCCAACTGCTGGGCATTCCCTCGGATTCCATTTCTTTGCCACTACAAAAAGAGCTGCTATCAATCTTTTTATACAGATGGGTCCTTTTCTTTTTGCTTTGATCTCTTTGGGACACAGATCTAGTAGTGGTTGTATTGCTTGATCAAAATGTATACATAGTTTTATAGCCCTTTGGGTGTAGTTCCAAATTATTCTCTAGAATGGTTAGGATGAGTTCATAGCTCTACCAACAATGCATTAGTATCCCTATTTTTCCAGCATTTGTCATTTTCCTTTTCTGTCACGTTAGCCAATCTGATAGGTGTGAGGTAATACCTTAGAGTTGTTTTAATTTGCATTTCTAGAGCACTTTTTCATATGACTACAATTTTATTTCTTCCAAAAACTGCCTGTTCATATGCTCTGACCATTTATCAATCAGGGAATAGCTTCTAATTTTTATAAATTTGGCTTAGTTCCCTGAGAAATGAAGCCTTTACCAGAGAAATTTGCTGTAAAAATCCCGTTTCCTGCTTTCCTTCTAATTTTGCTGAATTTGTTTTGTTTTGTGTCTTAAAGAATTTGGATACGTGTTTAGTGGTGATATCACTTGTCTACTGTACTTTTTGGCAAAATTCTTTGATTATTTCTTTTATTTAGGTCCATTTTGGTTTTTGCTTTGTCCAGGATCATGATTGCTACCCCTGCCTTTTTTTTTTAACCTCAGTTAAAGCATAACAGATTCTACTCCAATCCTTTATTTTAACTCTGGTATGCGTCTTTCTGTTTCAACTGTATTCCTCAGCAATCAACATACTGTTGAATTTTGGTTTCTAATCCATTCTGCTATTCATTTCTATTTTATGGGAGACTGCATTCCATTTACATTCATAGTTATGATTACTGTGTATTTCCTTCCTTCCTGCTTTCTTCTGTTTATTCATCTCTCTCTTTTTACCCTTTCCTTCCTCAAAAGTCTATTTTGCTTCTGACTACTACCTCCCTTTTATCACTCTCCCCCTTTCTCTCATCCCCTTCCCTTCTTACCTCCCTGTTGGATAAGACAGATTTCTATACCTAACTATAGATATAGTCTTCCCTCTTTGAACCAATTCTAATGAAAGTGAGGTGTAAGCATTACCTGCCACCACCCCTATTTTCCCCTCAACTATAGAAGCTTTTGCTTGTATACCTTTTTACGTGAGAAAATTTTCCCCATTCTGTCTCTCCCTTCCCGTTCTCCCAGTGCATCCCTCTTTCTCACCCACCCATTTTTCCTAAG